ATATTGGGATAACGATAGAAGTGGTCATATTCTCGGAAACTGGAATTATTCTTTTCTGAAAATCGAAATTCCATTCTATCTCGCAATTTTTTTGAAAACCGAAATCTTGCGAAGCCTACCAATATTGCGTTAGGCATATTCGGAGGTTGCTATATTCTCAGAAACTGGATTTCGTTCTTTTCTGGAAATCGCATCTTTACTCCATTTCGCAAAATTTTTTTTTTCAAGATCGCAGTTTGTAAAAGACGAAACTTTGCGGAACCTAGCCTAGATCTCGTTCATAGTACTCTTCTGACATGTCCTACTCATAATAGATTGACAGATATACCAAAAAAAAAAAAGAAAAAAAAAAAAGGAAGTACTCTTTTATTTTTTATTTTATTTTTATCTGTTGATTAGGGCCGGAGGGAAGTATTGTTGGGTTGTTTGCCTACCTACGTTCTCCACTCCCACCCACCCCTTTGCATACATTTCCGGGTTGGTACAGTGACACGTCAGCAGTGCCACGTCAGACAGTGCCACGTCAGACACTGCCACGTCGGACACAGTGCCACGTAAGCAGTGCCACGTCAGCAGTGCCACGTCAGACACAATGCCATGTCAGCAGTGCCACGTAAGCAGTGCCACATCAGCAGTGCAACGTTAGACAGTGCCACGTCGGACACAGTGCCACGTCAGCAGTGCCACGTCAGACAGTGCCACGTCAGACATAGTGCCATGTAAGCAGTGCCACATCAGCAGTGCCACGTCAGACACTGTGCCACGTCGGACACAGTGCCACGTCGGACACAGTGCCACGTAAGCAGTGCCACATCAGAAGTGCCACGTCAGCAGTGCCACATCAACAACATGACGGGCCTGCCAGGCCAACTGGCCAATGAGCCCATTGCCGACTACAAAAAGCGCTTCCAGGCTCAGCTCGCTGTAATCGAGGCTGAGGAACAACGCCAGCTGGCAGCCAAGGCTGCCCAGCTACAGGCTGACGAAGTGGCAGCAGCAGAGAAGCTCCGGCTACAGGCCGAAGCAGATGCAGATGCCAAGGCTCGCTGCAAGGAAGCCCAAGATCTGCTGCAGCGGCATGAAGCCAGCAGCATCGACAGACTCAAGTTCTCGCACTTTGAACCGAATGGTGACGAGGCAACACCGGAAGAGCAGCATGAGGAGTTCTTGGCCAAGCTAGTGACCAAGTTGGTTTACACGTGTAACCACCTACAGTCCGAGCTGGCGAACCTCCAGCGGGCCGTGCGGAACCATAAGACTCAGCATGAGGATGCCACACGGGCACTGGACGCCCGTGTACAGGACTTGGAACAAGTTCCACCAAGACCAGATGCTGGGGCTTCTAGCAGTGCATCCTCTAGCCGCCAACTGGAGGAACGCGTTGACCACGTGGTGGTAATGCTCGACGACATCAGCACCTTCGCTGCGCCGACCACCATCAGCAGTCAGCTGCATACCTTGAAGACTGAGTTCCAGCAGCTGCAGTCGACGAACGCAGATGGCAATCCGAAGTAGTAAAAAATGCCCACTTTCCAACTGGACAGGTTCGACGACTACACGCAGCAGGATCCGGTCCTCTGGTGGGAAGCATTCACAACGCAACTCAGGATTCTGCCCGTCGCCAAGCACGCGTACATCGGCGCCCTGTTCATGAACTCAAAGGGCGGATGCCAGACCTGGTTGACCCACCTGGCAACCTCCCACGGCGTCGACGTACCGGACTTGAAGGACAAAATCACATGGGAGGAACTGACACGACTGTGGAAGAAGCGGTTCATGGTCGACGACGCGCCAACACTCGCCATCAACCGTCTGTTCACCATGTCACAGGGCAACACCTTAACACGGGATTGGCTCACGGAGTGGCAGAAGATTGCGGAAGTGCCCAATCTGGAATTGGCATTCACGCATCTACACCGCGAGTTCAACAATAGGTCTTGTGCGACATTGAGCCAGGCTCTTGGTGATCGCGAGCAGTACTCAACCTTCACTGAGATCATTGACAAGGCGAGGGAAATCATCAAGACCAACAGGTCAACTGCACACGAGAAGTCAACATGGCAGCCGACCTATGTSGAGAAGGTACGAACTGGTCCGCGACAGCAGCACTTCGCTGCAGTCCAGCAGGACAGTGGAGATAACCCAGCAACCACTCCAGCATCAAGTGACGGAAATCAGGTGGTTGTTGTCCAGCCGCGAAGCAACAACAAGTCCCGCAACAATGGGAAGGCGAAATCCGCATCGCAGGTCGGAAATGGACAGCCAGTACAAGTTCCATGGGTCAAGTTCGGCTTGACCGAGGCGGAGTACAAGGTCCGCGGCCGCTACGGCAGCTGCTATTGGTGCAACAACACCAAGCACAAGACCTCCTTGTGCCAGGATCAGGGCAAGGAGGATGTGCGACCCCGCCTCAGCTCGAGAAACTGAGCTCCGCGGAAGGTGAGGCGACTCCACCTTCTACTCCGCCAGATTCTGCAGCCTTGCTAGCGGCCTCCTGCACATCTGGGGAGGATGCGAATGTCGCAAGTCCTCGGCATACTTATGAGGATTATGTTGTCCACTTGGTTCCACCGCTGGACCAACCGCTCCACGTGCAACAGTCTACCACATGCACGGTTTCATCACAATCGGCAACCGATTCGGCAGCTTCGCGGCCATCTATCGCCGGGGATTCATCGTCGTGGTCAAGACTTGAGGTGCTCGACCCACTGACGTTCACGGACGTCCAGTGGATGCCCGTTCCCCCGACCGGACGATTGTCGAAACCTCATTGCAATGTGCTCATGGCACAACTGCGAGATTACTTGCACACTGCAGGACCAGCTCTGTTGATGGACGCCGGAGTAGAGGTTGTCGACCTTCATGCTTAAATTGCGAAGATCGACCGTGTGTTCAAGATGCAACGGTACGACGACATTGACGCACCATTGCTATATGTACGCATTCAGATCGAAGAGGCGACCTGCAACGCCTTGATCGATTGCAGAGCATCTTGCAACTACATCAGCCAGGACTTCATGGTGCGCGCCAGCCTTGGCCCACGCGTTCGGAGGAAGTCCCAGCCTACGCAAGTCACATTGAAGGACGGTCACACGCACAAGACAATCGACCGGTGTATTGACAACGTCCCAGTGTACTTTGCCCCTCATGCAAGTGAGGCGGTGTCCTTTGACATTCTGGACACCAAATTTGACATGATCTTGGGCATGTCATGGCTGCGAAGCGAGGATCACCCGGTGAACTTCTTCCACCGCACCGTTCACATTCGTGATCAGAACCGAGTATAAAGTCCATGCACGGTGCCTCTTCCACATCCTTCGATCAGCTCCCACATGGTATCCGCCGCAAGCATGCGAGCTTCCATCATCAGAGACGATATCGAGGAGATGGGGGTGTGTTTTCTCCACGCCCTCCCACCCCATGACGCTTCATCGACGGACTCACCTTCGGATCCACGCATCACCGAGCTTCTCGACGCYTAYWGCGACKTGTTCGAAGGCCCGCACGGARTAGTACCRGATCRACCCATCCRCCAYGAKATCATCCTCRAGGACGGGGCCGTACCTCCGCGCGGTTGCATCTACCGAATGAGCGAGGAAGAGTTAAGTGTGCTTCGGGCACAACTCGACGACCTTCTGGAGAAAGGCTGGATTCGGCCTAGCTCATCGCCATACGGTGCTCCTGTTCTCTTCGTCCAAAAGAAGAACAAGGATTTGCGGTTGTGCATCGATTATCGCAAGCTCAACGCGCAGACGATCAGAAACGCAGGCCCTCTCYCACGCATCGACGATCTTCTCGAGCGACTGGGCGGCGCCAAGTTCTTCTCCAAGCTCGATCTCAAGTCGGGATATCACCAACTCGAGATTTGCAAGGAGGACCGTTACAAGACCGCGTTTAAGACGCGATATGGGCATTTCGAATGGATGGTTATGCCATTTGGCCTTACGAATGCCCCGACCACTTTCCAAGCACCTATGACAACGAAGTTCCGACACATGCTGGATCGATACGTACTTATCTACCTCAACGACATCCTGGTGTACAGCCGGAGTTTGGAGGAGCATGTGGAACACCTGCGCACCGTTTTGGAGCGGCTACGACAAGCCAAGTACAAGGCCAACCGCGACAAGTGCGAATTCACACGACAGGAGCTGGAGTACTTGGGACATTATGTGACGCCGCACCGTCCGCTTGAGGACAAGATCGAGGCCCTATGAGTATGGCCCGAGCCCACCAACACCACGGACGTTCGTTCATTAATGGGATTGGTAGGCTACTATCAGCGATTCATCACCGGATACTCAAGGATTGCTGCACCCATGACGAGGTTACAGTCGCCAAAGGTGCCATTCGTATTCGATGATGACGCACGCCGGTCATTCCAAGCACTTAAGACGGCTATGCTCATGGCACCCGTCCTTAGCATCTACGCCCCCACCCTGCCTAGGAGAGTGACTACGGACGCTTTCGGCTACGGCATTGGGGCAGTCTTGGAACAGCAAGACGACGACGACTGGCCCCCTGTGGAGTATTTCAGCCACAAAGTGCCTCCCATCAACTCGCTTGATGATGCAAGGAAGAAGGAGCTGCTCGCATTCGTCATGGCTTTCAAGCGATGGTGACACTTCCTCCTTGGGCGTCGTAGGTTCACATGGGTTACGAACAACAATCCATTGACCTACTACAAGATGCAGGATACGGTGAGCAGCACGATCGGACGATGGATGTACTTCATCGACAAGTTAGACTTCACACCCTGGCCTCTCAAATCGCGCAGCTGATGCATTCTCGCAAAGACCTGATCTTTGCGCTATGACACATCATGCCTTCGCATTCGACGAGGAGCTTCAGCGACACTTCATCCGGGCATACGAGTCTGATCCGGACTTCGCCACGCTGTATGCACAACTATCTTCGGATCACCCGCCGGCCAGCCACTWTYGCATTGCCGACGGGTACTTGCTCCTCCACTCGAGAGGCAAGGATTTACTATGTGTCCCACGCGACCGCCATCTTCGGACTCGCCTCCTCGGCGAGTATCATGATTCACGACTCGCCGGCCATTTCGGAGTCAACCGCACTATTGCACGGCTTCGAGAGCGATTCCGCTGGCCCGATCTCATTAGCGATGTCACTCAGTATTGTGACTCTTGCGAAGTTTGCCGACGCAGCAAGCCCCGCAACCGCAATCCCTACGGCGAGTTACACCCGATGCCTATCCCACGGGTAGCTGGTTTCTCCATTGCCATGAACGTCGCCGGTCCGTTTCCCCGCGACCGGCTCGGGCACGACACCATCCGTATGGTTGTGGACCCATTGAGTAAGTACGTGCGTTTTCTCCCTTGCAAGTACTACTCCACGGCTCCCGAGTTGGCACGCCTCCTGTACACTGGTTGGATTTGTGGCCACGGTGTATAGTCAGCGTCCGCGGCACTCATTTCATGTCAGCATTTTGGACTGCGCTCATGCAGGAGTTTGGCACGACGATGAAACCAAGTTCGGCTCGGCATCCACATACAAACGGGCAGACGGAGCGGGCACATCAAACCGCTCAAATGATGCTTCGTACGCTCATCCGTCCGGACCAGAAAGATTGGGTTGACCGCCTCCCCGATATCGAGTTCGCCTACAACACTTCGGTGCATCTGGCGATCGGCGTGACTCCATTCGAGTTACACCACGGTGGACGGAAAGGCCGGATCTTCGCCGACCTTCTCCTCCCTCGATCAGCCGACATCGACGCTGCCCGCTCTCCCGCTTTCGTCCGGAAGTACAGGGTATTGCTGACTCAAGCACGCTCAAACATGCAAAAGGCTCAAGTCTGCATGCAGCAGCAAGCCAACAGGCATCGCGTACCATGTGCCATCCGCGCCGGTGATCTGGTTTGGGTCTCCGCGGAAGAGTTTGCACTAGAACAGGATGTTTCACGCAAACTGCTTCCCAAGTGGTTTGGACCTTGGTCTGTGACAGCAGCCGCGGGCGATGAGCCTGATGGCCCTTCATTTGTGATCAACATTCCAGAGCATCTGACGGTCCATCCGGTCTTCCACGCCTCGAAGCTGGCAACATACACGCCTGCCATTCTGGGCCGACGATCGCAGGACCCTCCTTCTTTGGATGGTCATCAGGAAGTTAACCGCGTCATCACCGATCGCAAGTACGGCAGCAAGCCGCGGCAGTACAAAGTCACATTCAAAGCATGCGATCGCGACGACACTCGGTGGATTTCAGGCGCAGATTTGAAAGCATCCGCACCGCTGATCTACGCGCATTATGAAAAGCGGAGGTTAGCTCAGGAAGCTTGACGACCAGCCCCTCCCAGCTTCATGACCAGCCCCTCCCACTTGGATTGTGGTCCCTCCCTCAGACAGACAGCTTCTCCCTCGCAGGTAAGCTCGGTTCTTCAAGG